TTGTCTCTATAATTATAGTCTGTAATATATTGCTCTCATTTTTCTGTTTTCTTTCTTTTTCTTTTTTTTTTTTTTGATGAAAAGATTATTAGGAAGAGTAAAAAGTAATAGCAGAATATTGAATGGAACAAGAAAGAGATGCGAACATGTACATTAGTATGATTAAATGGAGAAAGTCTTTGATCTTACTTACAATTAGTAGATCTGTGATTAAGGTTGTCTGTAATGCAAATCCTGCTTTAAACATAGGTATTATGATAAGGATCTATGTACATATATACATACATATATATATATATATATTAGAATTGACGATAAGATAGAGTCTTGCAGAAATAGGATCCATTAGGAAAATTTATTTAATGCAAATACTACAACACATTGTATCTATTCTATTTTCATCAATAACAATTGATGATATAATTTTAACTGTAAATTTATAAAATGAATGTTATATTTTTTACTTATTCATTTTGTTAAAATATTAAATATATTTTTTTTAACATTGGATCAGAGATTTACTGAATGATATAAAAGTAATATAATTTTGAAGAAGACAATTCTTTTTGTAATATAATTTAATATAATTTAATACATTTTCTCGTATGCACCAATCTATATAATTCTGTACATAAAAATGGCTGTTAGTTAATTAAGTTTGGTTGAGAAATCAAAATTTGTTAAGATTTTATTTTTTTGGCGAAATATCTACTTCTTAAAAGACAAAGAAAATATTTCAGATTTATAGGGTTTTGAGATTCTATAAAATTTTAAATTCGAATTTCTTTCGAATCTTTAAACCATATTCATTTATGATAATTCCAATGATACCTCATTAAAATTGTGATTTATTTAAATTTAATGTATTATGCGTTTAAACATGTAAAAAGAGTACGTAAAAAAAATCTATAAAAGAAAAATCTCGTTTGATATCCTTATCCATTTATTCATTAAATAGGAAATAAAAGGATTAAACCTGGATCGCAGTTAACTTTCACTTAACTTCTGTATTTTTTCGAAATATTTCGCAATTGATAACAGCAAATAGAAATTTCAAGAATGTTTTAAAAACAATAAGAGAATAAACATTATTTAAAAAAAGTTTTAAATAGCAAATTAAATAGTTGCTATCTTAATTTCGATATCTTAATTTCCATTGCATTGGAAGAACGTATTTTCTTCACTATTTTTTAAAACGAAGAAAGGATTACAATTAGTATTTTTTTTTTTTTTATTATCGTGTCTGAAACTCTTTTTAAAGATTAATTTTAATTGACGATAATGAATATTGTTTTCTGTATCGTAAAATAAAAAATTCCCGAATAGATAATAATAAATAATTAAAACAGAGAAACAGATCTTCAAAGCGCAAAGAAAACAAGAAGACAATGAGGTAAGTGAAAAGAAGTTGAATAGAAATTTTAAAAAGATGGAAAAAAGTAAAATAAAATTCTAATGAAATTGAATGAAACGAAAATAAAAAGGATTAATGAAATTGAGAAATGTATATTGAAAATTGTTCAAGATTAAAAGAAACAGTGGAAAGTTGAATATAAGCAAGAAATATTGTAGAAGATTTTAAAAAAACCAAAGAAAAGAAAATGGCAGAAAATGGAAACTAAATAAGATTGTAAAAATCTGGTAAAACAGTACGAAGTTAAAAGAGAACCACAAAAAAAAAATAAAAAAATAAAAATTGAAAAAAAATAAAACCAAGAAAAATGTAGTACATTTTATATAACTAATATAAAATTTGTTGAACTTAATTTTCTTATAATAAAACGTAATTTTAAATAATTTCAAATTTTTTATTAAATAATAGAAACATAGTTCACATTTATTCTGATAATTTAATTTATAAATTTAAATTATTAATTCATTATAATTAAATAATAAATTATGGTAAATAAAAAATATTATTTTCATAAATATTTTGTTATATAAATGAATATATTTTATAAATTTACAGCAAGTTATGATTTTTTTTTATATTCTTTTATATAAATGTAAAATTTTACAAAAACTAATGATATTTAGAAAATGAAATAATTTTTAAATATAAATTATAAGATTGAATAATACTATTTCAAAGTTTATTTTCTATTCAGTTTCTCGTTAAATCTTTATAAATTTAATAAACAATGTGGCACCTAAAAATCGAAATCCCATATGTGTAAATATATCTAGGAGAACCAACCTAATACATTTCCAGCAGAGCAGGTCGGCAGTTACATTTATTCTTATACGAAAGAATACTATGATCTGACAGCTTTCTGAAAAGGTAGAAATAACACATCGTATATATCCTTCTGGCAACGAATATATACAGTATATACAATGTGATAGAATCGACGTACTATATGCTATTCTTTTCATATATGTTATACAATGTTTTATTATATATTTTAGAAGAAGAAACTGTAACCAGAAAATCTTTTTTAGTTCTTACAAAAAAAATATGATATTGATTTTGTGAACAGATTTTTCTAAAACAAAAAAAAGAAAGACTTTTACTTTTCAAAAAATGATATCTGTTAATGTTATGATATCATGATATTTTGTATGTTATTATTATTATTATTATTATGAATAATAGTGTGATTAAAATATTATTTATATTATTTTCATTTTAATAAATCCATACATATCTTAAAAATTTATATTTCAATTTAATTTTATTGATTATATTATAGATTAATAAATATTATATTATAAATTAATAGTCAGTATTTTGGTCAGAATTCATTTTGTTTCTTTAAAATGAAAAAAGTTTTAATGTTTTGATGAACTTAACAATAGTAATTTAAATACAAAATTAATATTTCACTGACAATGAAATTTGATTGTTTCAATAATAAAATTTTTATAATATTCTTATTTCTTTATTTGTCTTCATGTATTTCTGCGTTAAGTTAACAATATTTTAATTATTTTATGTACAATATTACGAAAAAAATAACATTTTTGCTCTATTATTACTAGGAAAACTGCACCGTTAATAATAGGGTCATGATTGACAAATTGCTATGTATAAAAAAATTTATATAAATTGAACTTTACGGAATTAATTAAACATAAGTCGCACAGAAAATGATCGAATTTTTCCAATATACAAGAAGAATAATGATTAAATACAAAAATATATAAAATATATCCTTTAACATTAATTGATTCATTAATTGGCTAAATGATTAAAATGACATGTAACAGAGAAATTTTTAGGAAATAGTATAAAATATTCTTAGTTTACAATATTAAAATCTCCTCAAAATGGTAAAAAAATGTCAATTAATATAAAATTACAATCATCCATATCATCTATAACAATTTTACTTAACTTCTAAATTTGTTGTTTCAACATGTTACAATAATATTTCTATATTTTTCATCGCAACGTTTTCATCATGACAACGTCTATTAACGAAAAATAAATTTTTTTAAAATAAATCATATTCCTCATACAACAAAAAGAATTAAGAATAAGAAAAATGCAGATAAAAGAATATTAACTTGTAAAATCGTCTTTAATAAAATTAAATTTATAACGAAAAAATTCTTATAGCGTTTAGAATGTGAAATTAAAATAATCGTTTTTAGTTTTAAATGCCATCGAATTGAAACTTGCAAGTAAAAGTAAATGTTTTGATCTCTTTTAAAACAATTCATTCTACAAACATTTCTCGTCTTCACATCAGATCTATTTGCATTAAAAAAATATATATATCAAAGAAATTTACACAGCAAACACGATATGGTTTCGAACACATACTACATTAATCATCTAAAAATAACGAGACCACTATTTCCATAAATTTTTACATATGTAACATCTCTTGCGATTCGAGTGAATCAAAAATAAAATTTATACATGTGAATTCTTTTTTTTAAAAATATTGACACGAGTATTGCTTTTTTTGAGCACAGAACGTTGAGTTGAGAAAAAAATCTTACTCCTAAATGAATAAGATTTCTTCTCATTTTCAATTTATAAAACATTTTTTTTTTCTATTTTTTTCTATTTGTTTTGATTTCTATTCAACACGCTAAAGATTCTCGTTTTATATTTCTTCAACAACTATAGAAAACTAGAAACATTCGTTGTCATTAAGAAACATGAAAAAATTGATATTTATGCATAATAACGACTTATGACTAAACGTAGAAGATTAATCAGAGCTCTAAAATCTATCGATCGCCGTTGCTTTCCGAATTCACTTTCATTTTACTACTCAAAAGTTTTAAAATGAAGAAAGAACGAAATAAAAATATAAATTAATATATTTTTGATTTTTACGTTTCTTGATCTCTTATATGCAAATAACAATTTAAAAGTAAAATTTAAATATTTTAAATAAAATTGATTAAATTTGGATAATTTAAATAATTTTAATTAGAATTTTTACATTATAATTAATAATTTAAAATACTTGCATATAAATTATCTTTTTTTCCAATTTTTCTTATTCTTTCTTTTCTATTAAATGATCTTAAACTTTTAAGTTGTAAGTCCTCTAATTAAAATATCAATAGATTAATTGCAAATTCGATTATCAAAGAATTGTTATATAAAATTTATTAAATTATTATTATCATATAAAGAAAAGCTATATTTGAATAATATAGAAGTTCAAAACTGATCGATTTCATCAATTTCATCATTCATAAATCATAGGACATATTGACATTATGATTATAATAAAAAATAGTACTATGAAATCAGTTGCTGTTAAGTTCTATAAAAAAAAACATAAATATGGATATTAATTTAATTAGTTAAAAAAAAAAGAATCGTTATAAAAAATATTAAGCAAATACCTAATAATTTACTCAACTATCATATTAAAGAAAAAAGAAATTTACAATTTAATCTTAATCATAAATAATTTAATAGTTTCTTTAATAGTACTTAAAATTAATAAATGATTTCTGAAATGTATATGATTTTTGGAAAAAAGTTAAAAAAGCTAATCACATATTTTGATTTAAAATTAAAAATCAAAAAATGGAATCGATCAGTGACTTCAGAAATGGCGCATTTATCCTTGATTTAATTAATTCAGAAGCATCGACGATTGAAGCATCCGTTGAAAGCGGCCAGAAGCTGACCAATCCTCACCGTGGAGTAATGGCAGGCTTTCTGAGTGTTCACAACGATCCTGACACTCGTTCTCGTGTTCCTGGCAAGTGTTGCTTTCGTGATATCCGCAACATTTCGACGAGTGGGGATCGTGCACGCCTGGACACGTCACCTTCCAGTTTAATTGCTCGTATTTGAGACCAGTGACAAGATACGAAGACAGAAAGGTGATACTGGAGCACCCTGTGAACCGCAAAACTGTTTTGCAAACGGATATAAACATAGTAGAAACTAGCACTAGAACTATCTTTTCATAAGTATTTTAAATGTAAATGAGTTTTAGTTACATGTACATATAATATTATTTATGATATTATGAGAATAAATGAGTATGTGTAATTATATTACAGTTTTCTTAAAATACAACATATAATTTTGTTAAGAACATTTTCGTATTTTCAATAATCATAAAATAAAATATATGAAATTTGTGAATATTTTGAAAAATTTGATAATTCTAGTGCTAGAAGTTGAATATGAAGATTGAAGATTCGTGAGAGAATTTAGTAGAAATATTTACAAAAGAAATGTTAATGCTGATTAAAATTTAGCAAGGTGTTAGTAAAAAACAAAAATACACTCTCATTTAAGAGTCTTAGGACTTTGGAATTACATCTATTATATTTTTTGTTAAAAAAATTGAGAGAAATTAAATAACTATTAATAAATTCAATAATTCAATTCTTACGTGGTAAAGAAAATATAAAAATATATTATTAAGAATTTAATTTTAATCAAAAATATTCATTTACAATTAAATCTAATAAAAAAGTTTTAATAAAATTGTTAAAGTTCTAAAATTTTTAAACAGAAGTGTATATACTTTCTCCTTATTGTTAATGTGAGAAATAAAGGATGGTAAAAAGTAAGAGTTAGTTAGAACTTTAATCTTCTGTATTCTTTTCAACTCAAATCTTATTATTTTTATCATTGAATTTTTAATTTAAAATTTCTTAATTGAAGATAATATAAATGAATTTCAAAATAAGTAAAACATTAAAAGTTTGAAATATTAAATATTTGTCAATTGACAAGATTTAAATAATAATTTAGAAAAGAAAAATTGAAGATAAATAGTATTCTTCTACTAAGGAAAAATATTTTGATAAACATGGGTTGAAAAAATAATATTTTTACATCAAAATAAATAAAAAGTTCTATTTTTTTCATAATCTCATATCTTTTTTATTATCTTACTATGAATTATTATAGTAACCAAGTTTTTAATAAGAAAAAAAGTGCAGAAGAGTACAGTATTTGAAATTAAGATAATAAGGTATTTGAAAGAAAAATGCATCATTATATAAAATTTTAAAGTAATCTTATACATTTAGAAAATATCTAGCTATTCATTTAAATTGCATGGAAAAGAACTATAAAGCAAAAAAAAAAAAAAGAAAAGAAAAGAAAAAACAGAATGAATATATGTTGAAATATAATAGAAAGATAGTCATATTTATTTTTAAATAATGACCATTCAATTGAATTTTTAAATCATTTTGTATTGTCTCATCAAATATTATATATATATTACTATACTTCAATTACTATAATTATTTTTGATATATAATTATAATTCTATTTTTGGTATCGAAAGTGTTTTACAACTCTTCATTTTTCCGAAGAAAGTGAAGCAAAATTTTCTACATAATTTTTCCATTGAATCATCTTTTTCTTTTTATCTCCATTTCTTTCTTTTGCGATTACAGAAAATTTTCTTTTCATACCCTTATTCCCCATTTCCATAAGCTTAACATTTTCAATATAATGAATTGCTTACTCTTTCAGAAATCTCTGCCTGTGTTTTAGTTATTTTACAAGCATTTTGTATTTTTTGATAATAATTCTTTATAAGTATACCATGTAGTATATTTATAGAGATATTTTTCAAAAAATATTCAGGAAATAATTTTTAAACCAAAATGAAAAATATTAATTTTCCTACCCATGTTTAATAGCATTTACATTTTCTATTTGCCATGTTTATTCTTTAAATTCTAAACTCTTGTTACCACCTTAAATATAATAATAAACAAAAAAATTAAAAAGCAGTGAAAGTTGGTTTTAAAAATCGATTCTATTCATCAAAACTATGAAAATGGGTTGTAACTTTATTTCACAATTTTCTTTTTTTTTTTTTTTAGTTTAATATAAAAAATAAAAAGAATAAGAATAGAAAGAAATGGCTTATAAAATTTTTATAATGGAAAGGAAAGTCTACTAAAAAAGATAAAAAATAAATGTTTTTTTTCAATATTTAAATAATTTAATTAATTGAATATTATTGATATTAAATAATAATATTAGCAATGATTTTTATATATTTTATATCATATGAAAACGATAAATATAAAAATATTTTCAATAAATAAATATATATATAACTAATATAAAACAGATTAAAAAACAACGAAGCAAAAACTTAAATGCATTTTATAATTATAAATGAAACCAAGTATAAAATCTTTCACATTGTTTTGATGTATAGTATCAATTCTGAAAAAGAATATCACTGATTTTTGTTAACGCGTTGCATATCAAAAGCTCAACGTTCAATGTCTGACTCAAACTGTTTATTACTACTGTGCACGTTTTACTATTTATCTACGTCAGTGTCTCTCAAAATAAGGATTCTTATATAATTTAATTTATTACTATTATACTTCAATCAAACTATTAAATATAATTATAAAAATTATAATATGTATATATTATATAAATAATATAAAATACATAATTATAATAATAAAATTATAATAATAAAATTTAATTTGCAAATTATTTTTTTTATTAGTTCTAATATTCTATCAATTAACATATTTAAACAACGATTCTAATGCAAAGAAAATTACACTACACTTACATTTGATGGTAAAATTAACTACATTTATCCTCACTTATCTCCTATAATTGACACTGTTTCAATTACATCTTTAATATGTACAAACAAGATAATCACGGAAAAGTAGAGGAATTATCTTTATAAGAAAGTAAACACTGACTATGAATAGCGCATAATGGATGACAGAATCGTTGCCATATTGCAACGAACCGAGGCGTAATTAAACTGTAGAGCACAATAAATAATTAATTGTTACGAGGCTACATTACTATGATTAATTTAAATAATTAAATTAGTTCCATACCGATTAACGAATAAAAGAAATAAAAATAATTAACTTGTGAAATATATATATTCATTTATTCAAGCTAAATTATACAATTATATAAGCAAGTCTTGAGAAAATATAATCAGAAATAATGAGAAATTTATAAGAACAAATTCATAAGAATAATATAGAGAAATATTATATATTTATTATTTATATAATATTTCTTTAAAGATGCTTTAAAATATCTATAAACAATTTATATTTATATTTTAATATTAAAATTATCAAATATATAAATTTTTAAATGTTTCATTTTTATGATTATTAAAATGAATATAGATACTTCGTACAAGTATAATATAAGTTCTCCAGTGTTAAGCATAATTCCAATCACTGTCCCTTAATCACCATTGGATTATATTAAATCCATCGATGCAAAATACGTGGCATGCAAATAAATTAATGCAACTTATGACTTTCATATAATAAAAGCAGACAATGAATTTCAACAATGCAGCAATATTAATATGAATTAAGAATTAAAAAAAAGAATAAAAAGAAACAATGAAACAAACAGATAGCAATGAAGTTTGAGCAAAGTATGCAGACATAATTTCTCGAAATAATGAATTTATTTTACCAAGTGCTCTGTCCCCCTCGACAGCAGACGGATTCGTGTTTTATTTTATCCGAAAAGCTTTCCGTGGAAAGTTTCAACCGCCTTCGTGAAAACAGTTTATAAACCGACGCGCACGTGTTTCGATACCACATGGAGAAACAAACTTTGTTAGTTAGATGTGAATAATGCACAAATACCTGTTTACCGACCATTCTGACAAGCAGCTTTATCCCCTGTGTTCGCGGTAACGCTATTCTGTTCTTCATCCTTTACAAATTTTATCAGGAACATCGTAAGCGCCCCTGCTATTGGTGGAATACCAGCTAAGAAAAAAGGCAGATCATAGGTACCTATATAAATCAAAAAATAATAATATAATTATATTATTAATCTTCAATCTTTTACCTTATAGTCTTTAATGAAAAAAATGAAAAATCTAATGCAGTTATAATTTTAATTCTTAAGTGTTTAAATTTTAATTTTGTATTTATTTACATTATTATATATTATTTTATTCAATGTATACATCAGAATAATTGAAAAGTATGATAATAATATAATACATTAATAGTGATGAAAAATTGTTACTATGAAGTGATAAATTGCAAAATTGAAGAAATTTATTAATATTTTAATATTATTTTATATCATTTTTAAGCAAAAATCTTGGAAATAGATATTAAATTGTTTATTAATAAATAAAGTAATAAAAAGAAATAAATGAATTAATCAATTCATGTAATTACCTGTATGATCATATAGAAAGCCAGCTATGGGTGGCCCCACAGTCAAAGGTATAGAACACATGCCTAATAGAAATCCTATAGCTTGTGTCGCACCTTCTCGACCGCATATATCGAATGCAATAGGGCCCAAAAGGGATATAAAGCAACCATCGAATAATCCCATAGCCAAAGAAATAAGTAGCAATATTACAAACGAAGGTGTAACAGGGAGAAGCATTGTAAGAGCACCAATGCTAAAAAACGATATCTAAAAAATAAAAAATAAAATAATTAAAAAATTTATGAAATATAATTTAATTCTTTTACATATTATTTTATAAAGAAGATTTTACTTTTAAATTTAAAAAATAATCATATTCTTAATGTTCCTTTACTTGAAAAATAATTGAATATTTTTATGACAGAAAATAATTAAACTTTTCACATGTCTTTATTTGAAAAAAATTAATAAGCTCAAAATAAATTGAGCATTCATAAACATTTTAATAGCAATATGAGAAAAGGATTTGTAAGTTATTTTTCAAAGAGACTATAATAAAAAAAAAAGAGCTACTCTAGCTCTATAATGTAGCTAATACAAACTATAATGTGTCAATCAAAGAATTTCATATCAACATGTAATTATCTAAATCAATGGTTCCCAATCTTTGGATACAATATTCTATAGTGATATCAAAATAATCCTCTCCACTTTTTAATTTTAATTCAAGGACTATTAATTATTCCACGGCGACAAAATCGTATTAATTTTTTCAATTTATCTTACCTACAAAAAACAAAAATTACAAGTTATTTGAAAATTACAAAAAAAGAAACGCTGATCAAAATTCTTATCTAAAATATATATTTGAAAATTATTAAATTTTAATCCTCAATTTACCTGTTGCAACAATATTCTGTTTACCCTCGGCAAATCAGCGATATAACCGAAGAGCAATCGACCAATACCGGAAGTGATACCGATGCACATGATCGGAAGCTTTCCATCCGCGTCCTTGAACACCATCTCCACGAATTTCCCTATGTGAACATACGGGACGAAATATCTGAAACGGACATTCCCATTGATCTGAGAATCCATGCCAATACACGTTGCCTTACACACTTTTGTCGCGATTATTCCTGCGATCTTGAATTACAAGTCCGTGTAACTTGATTAAGAACAAGTTTCGCAACCAGAACCGTTACCAACATGTTGGTTTCTACATATCGATTGAAATTAAATTGACAACGCCGTGAGCATTCTGTGGTATACGTGTGAATATAAATTAAAAATGAACGATTTAATAATAAGAAAGAAGAAAAATATGAAACCGTGATAACAAAGTTTGAATTGGTTAACCTTATAAAATCATTCACACGTGTGAAGATAATTGCTCATTGATCGCGGTAATACTAACCCGAACAAAGCGAGGGGAATGGAGCTAGCCCACACTATGTAACGTTTTTTCCTCCATATCGAGACGTTTATCACTTGCTTGACACAGTTTTTGAGGCTCGATTTGGATTTTAGTTGATCCTTTGGCATCGAGTTAACTGGAATAATTGTAAATTAAAAAAAAATTTTGTATTCGTTGTATTATTTGTATAACGAGAAATCACATTTAATTTTATATATTGTATAATACTATATATATTATTACTTATTTTAAAACATTTTTCATACGATTATTTATTTACGTCACGATAAAATTCGTACTCGGTCGTTATATAACGCGAATGGATTGCAAATAAAGCTCTGAAGAATAGAAATTTGGATTTATTCGAAACTTCAATATGTATTATACGTGTACATAAGTGAAACTTACGTGGAATCGGCTTGAAAAGTATAGCGCAAGGCATGACGATCGCCGTGAGCATAGCTAAGAACCTCAACGTGCCCTCCAAACCGAAACGGCGGAGTATGACCTCAATCAGGTACGGCATAAGGATCGTAAATATGGAGCTTCCAGCCGTGACGATCCCATTGACCAAGCCCAAGTATCTCTTAAAATAATGGCCCAAGATCGCTAGGCTAGGCGTGTAGGCAAGACTCGCACCGAGACCGTACATCACTCCGTAGGTCAAATAGAGTAATGTCACCTGAAGCACAGCGATTCTAGAAATAACTCGAGTCGGTTATGATAACGCCGAATACCATGATGTAACATCGAGAATAATGATTCTTCGTGAAAAATTGTTTTACACTTGGTACACCCATAACTTAATCTAATGATTTTATTGGGGATAACATGATTCTAAGTGGGAGGATTTTAAAATTGAATAAAAGTTATATGCATGTATGGATATTAATTTCGAAATAATTTTTTTTTTTTTACGACAGAGAAAATGGAGATGAGAATAGATGGCTATTCAAATAAATAGTATTTAAAAGTTTGAAAACAATTATATTTTTTGCATTGAATAAAAATCTTTTGTAAGAATGAAAATAAAGCATTTGTAATAAGTGATTATTGATAGTGATAAATAAAATAAATTTAGATAAAAAAAGATTAATACCCAGTATATTATTTTTATTTTTCAATCATTAGTAAAAAATAAGTTTAATATATGTGATTTTTTTATGTTTTTATTTGAAGTTTCTTATTGTTTCCAAATTTTTGATAGTGTAAATATTATATTTAATATAAATCTTATTTAATCTTATTATTAAGATAATATGTTGAGAAGCAAATCATTCTATGAAAATAGGACAATGGAGATGAGATTTATATCGTTTACATTATACATATAGATAATTTTATAAATATAGTAAAATCAATGAGAGAATATAATTTCTAATAAAAATCGTAAAGTACATATTGCAATTAATTTTATATACTTATCGAATTAAAATTGTATGCTGTATAATGGAACGTAAGATTAACTGAATCGTACTAATACTCGATGGATTAAAAGTAAAGATAAAATTGAAAAGAAGAAAAACGTTAATAACGTTTCATAAAAATAAATGAAAAAAAAAAAATAATAATTTACCTTACTAGAAAATATCGAGGATAAAAGCATACCACTGGATGCAAGAGCACCACCCAAAAATGTGGTCATCTGAATCCCAATTTTATCGGTGAGAATGCCAGAAATTGGCGATAGAAAGAATGTTGTACCAATGGTTAATGACCCTACCAACGCTGAAACAAAGACATCATCACTTTCGGCAATTTCTCAAATATATATTTCATTAATTTTTTTTAATAATTGAACAATTGTTAAAAGATTGTTTTACATAAGACAATTAATTAAAACTATAAAATTAAATTTTATTTCAATTTTTTTTTTTTCAAAAATTTAATATATTCAAATATATTCAGTCTCAAATTAAATATGAACGAACGTATTCGATAAATTTTCAAATTCGATTATCTTGAAAACGAGTTTTTTATTTAAAAAAAATTGTATTCCATATTTTTTATTTATTTTTATAAAAAATGACTTTTTGTCACTTCCATTCACTTCTGTAAAATTCATTTGTATCCAATTAAGAATTATTCAAAATCACCTGTACTTAACATTTCTTGAAAATAAAATTTTTAATGGACAAATTTTATTTCATATTTTCTATTCATATATTCTATTCATATTTTCATATTTTCTAATACTTATTTTCTAAATTTTATAGATATATTTTTTTTTCTCTCAAATTAATCCACATTTGAAGCAGTTTTTTTATGTAATATACGAGATTCCATTTATATAGAATGACATCAAAAGAAAATAGAATACAAAACGCTACCGAAAAAAGCGTTGTATAATAGAATATTCAGATATAATAGAATTTTTCGATAGTAGAATATTCGAGTGATGGAAATTCTGATAACAGAAGTTCTATTAGGTTATGGATATATGAGTGAACGTTTACTTTGATCTTGATATTGGTTAGTAATTTTAAATCTCGGAAACATTCTACTCTAACTTTTATTTAATACGACAGAATATATTTCTGATGGAATAAATCGAACAAATTTTTTTTATTTTAAATATTGAGAATAAATTAATATTATCAATTAAAAATATAATCAGATTATTTTATATTATATTATATTATAGTTAAAAAATCTTCATTAAACAATTATTATATTCTAAGTTGTTTAATTTTAATAGGTAATATAATAATAATTTAATAATGATCAATATAAAAAATTTTTAATCTTTTTCTGAAACAATGTAACAGCCTGTTAATATTTTTTAAAATAAAAAGAAAACAGAAAAAAATAGAAGATATTCAATACATATTCATTCATACAATTTTAATCTCAAATAATGAAGTGATTAATTCTTTGTTTTCATTTAAGAAATTATATTTCTAATGATCCAAAAATTAGAAAGATATTCATAACTTTGATTTGCTCAAAAAAGATATATACTTATAACTAAACTGCAGACATTTATGCAAATTCATATTTTAATAATATCATCGATAAATGGAACTAAAATATATTCTCCAAATAATATAACAAATATTTTATTTCGAGTAATTATATGTATAAGCTTTGGAATGCAAGAAATGAAAAATCATTCTTCAATTAAATCAAAATAAAAATTATTCATCTCTTATTTTAGATCGTATAGACTATATATTGTTTAGTAAAGACCTAGTTCTACTTTAAAGAGTAACTACCCCTAGATTAATATTATTTGACCCTCGTTACTATTAATGTCCATTGTAATTGTCGATTAATTCAGATCCAGGTTGTTCAGGGCATTGACTTCGCGATGATTAGCCTGATCGATCGGTTTAATTGATACGCTAGTTGATAGAAGTAATTATTCTGTACTTCACTTAACAACGATTAGATCTTAGAAGACGTCAATATATAGAATATAGTTTTGTAATGTCGATATTTAGGCCATGGACACAAATATTAACGATTATTTCAATTCAGTATTGCTTATTGCTCGCATTCTTATTAGAATGTTCATTGATTTGCACAAATGATCTCAACATAGTTGTTTAATTGACCTATTTCTTAATTCACGAATCTATTTTTATTATTATTTTTTCTTACGAAGCGTGTTTATATGCAATACGAATTTAAATCATCGATTAGCAAATTAATAAAATGCTAAGATGTATTATATAGTAAACAATGGTTAATAATAGCGTAATGATAAGATAACAGATAACTTTTACTTAATATATGTGTGCAATTTAAAAAAAAATTACGTTATCAATTCTTGATAATTTTTTGAAATATGAAAAAAAGAATTAGATGAATGAAACCCAGACAGTTCAATGATCTACAAAACGTAAATATATATATTATCGACATAAAGAATAGATATGTAATAAAAATGATAAGATAATACGGTTCATTAACAGTGATTGGTTAATTGCACTTAGAATAAAGATTGAAGTAGTTAAAATAAAAATATCCTCTCACAAATTTTGTAATTTTAGTTTTCTCTTCTTTTGTCGTATACGAAATATGAAATAGAAAAGAAAAAAATAATTCACTTTATAAATAATTGAAAGAATTAAAAATTATTCCATTTACCTCTTTCTCGAACAGAACAGAAGACTATATTCTTTCTTACAAATATTCTTTCTTTGTAATAGCAAAGAACACGAAAGAAGATAAAACACTTACCCGCCTTCGAAGAGGCTGCCGTTTCTCCAGAATCCAACAATCTCTTCTGCAACTCTAGATAGATCAACGAATACGTGTTTATGACGCTGAATAGAACACCATTAATAACGAAACTGCCTATCATAATCATCCAAGCTCTGAGACCGCCATCAGGTGGAACGATCGCGTTACAATCATTCACTTCTGGATCTCTTCTTGAGGTGTTCATCGACGCCCAATCATCCTCCTCCTTGTCCATTTTCTTCGATTTCATGGTAGAAGTGTCAATTTTCACCGATGAATGATCAACTCGATTGGACTCCAGTAGGGGGTTTGCCTCCATGCTAGAATTGGAGATCTGTTCCAGTTGTTGCGGATCCCTGTTGTTCAACGGATTCAGGATCCCGTCCACGGTATTGGAAATCCCCGTAGAATTCATCTTCAATTCTGTGGTCTCCGCGATTGTCATTGCTCAGATTTTTTAACGATTCTCGCCGCGGTACGTGTAATGGAGATCTGAAAAGAAAAATTATATATGTATAGAAAAAAAAAAATAAATTCGTTACATTCGTAGAAAAATATATAAGTAATTGTAATTGTATTTAATGAATAGTACTGAATTAATTAGTAGTTAATTTAGTGTTAAAAAATAATTTGATGATAGATTAGAAATATAGGTGAGAATGTGATTAAAAAAAACTTGGATGAATTGGAAGAATAACGAAAAGGATTCTTTTGTTATTCAATTACGAAGTTGTATATACACATACAACACGTACAATTTTATGATTTGATTATATATACATATAGATAACAGTCATAGAAAATGCGTGATATCATATGATGAATAAGTTTGTTTAAAAAATTTAAATTCGACTTTGAAAATTTGATTACTTATTTATTCATTCCAAATCATGTCAGAAAAATCAAAAGATCAATAATAAATATTAATAAGTACTGAATAAGCATTAAGCTATCTTTAAAAATACTTAGACTACTAAGTACATTATTATTCTTAAGAAACGAAAAATATTCATAAAATTTTAATTTGCAATATCTTCGTTCAATTTTTGATATATAAATATTAAAAAATCTTTTTTTCAAATGAATTAATACAAGTTTTATTCGTAAGAATGTAAGCTATATAAAAAAATGCGTAGATAAAAAATGTTTTTCTTTTGAAATAATGATAAATCAATTTAAATATGATTATAAAATATTACGTTTTACAGAAACCTGTACATATCTTGACAATTCTATAATTCATTACAAAAGTACTCTTGTTGTTGTTAAATTATCGTTCTCACTACGAGGAACCATGTCAAAAGCATGTGCCGACACATGCGAAACGTGATATTTAATCTTAAACATTCTCGCAATAATTTCTCATAACTACAAAATTTCACTGAAGTTATTCGTGAAATATTCGTTCAAACAAACATAAATAAATTTTGCTTTCTCAATTTAAAAATAAATATATAATTCTAACATTTATTAAAATAAATTTGTAAAATTTGCAATTGAATTAAATTTTTTTAATCTAATTTAACAGAAAACAGAGCGATAAGTAAAAATAATATTGGAATATTAAATATTTAACAATACAAAGGAATATATAATATACTTCACTTAATTCAAGAAAACAAAATCTAAAGATAGAATAGTTGTGTTCCTTTTGATAAAATATAGAATAATAATATAGTTTGCATACACTTTGATAATAAATAAGTCGATTTAAATTAAACAAAACAAGACAGATAAATCAACTTTAAGTTCAAGGAAATGCAATAATCTTAAAAACCTATTAACCCTAGGATAAAAACATTTTCAATTAATAAAGCTTTATCGATTGATTTATTAAAAAAATTATTCAATACAGAGAATCAAGAAATTTTGAAAAAATATTTTACTAACTAATGAAAAGTTTTATAGTAACGTAATAGATAATTTGCAATCACGGAACAATTAAGTACATTTTATTTTTATTTTTCTTCTATTATATAATTTAATTTTTAAAAAGAAAAATAATAATCTTAATCTTTCCTTTACTTGTTAAAAAAATATATAATAAGTAATCAATTCAAAATTAATTAAAATATGCAATTTTATATTAATTAAATAAAGTTTTGAAAATAATAAATTCTACAAATATGTATATATATATATATAATTAACACATATAACTATGATATATTTTCTGATCACATATAGATTTTAATTTTCAACGATAAAGATTCTTTCAAAAATCGTTCAAACTAAATTTATTCAATATTAATATATTATAATATATATTTACCAATACAATGTTTTCAATTTTCAAAAATGAATAAAAAGAAAAATACAAAAAGCAAAACAGAAGAGAAAAGCATTGTATCGTAAAATAGTGCACGCTACGATCGTATTAAACAATTCGTATGCCTTATCACGTGCTGATAAATGTGCATCAAGCTTGTACATAAGTACATATATACACATGTATCTAACACGACGATAACTCAGTATATCAAAACCAATGGCGTAACTAGCTTTGGATTAAATATCATGTAACATTTTTTTATTATTTTGAAACATTTCTTTTTCATATTTATTACATTGAAAGAATGAAATTTTGAAATGGAATAAAAAATGGTATTTACATCATTATTATTTACACTGATTTCTGTGTGTCAATTTATTGTCATATTAATTTTTTTATTTATTACGTTTAGAAAGAATGATTATAGTAGAAAAAGATAGCTACACGTTTTAATGACAAAAATAAATCAAGATATTAATAAAATAATCAAAATATTCTTCAATATTCTCAAATATTGAAATCAAAAAAATATTTATAATTAATTTTTTTCCCCATAATTTATTTATATATCTACATAAAATTTTGATAAGGATACGAAAAAATTGAAATTTTTCTGTTCTCGAGTAAGATATAACTTGATATGAAGAGATATGAAAAATTTTTTAGCTTACTTCCAATATGATATAAGATTTCATCTATATAAATAATATAAATCAGATATGATTAATTTAATCATATCACTAATAATGAGAATATATTGCATTGTATAATTGATAATAATATTGAATATTTTGTTTTACATTCATAATAATTTATCGTTATCAAATATACATATCATTCAATTCAATATTTCGAATATAAAAAAAAATTATTTTTCCTGTTTTCTGATTTGATCGCATATTTATTAACTATTAACTAATACAAATATTTTATGAAAATATAAAAAAATTAATTAATATAAAAAAGAATTTAGTTTAAAAAATTTAATTTACTAAATTTTTTCCAGTGGTCTTCAAATGTGAAAAAAAAAGACAATTGTAGAAAAGAAACTGTATAAAGTAAAATAAAAAACTAATAAAATTCAAGAAGAAAACGATTTAAATTAAAACAAATAATTGTAAAAAAACAATTCTATAAAAAGAAAAATTAATAAAATAGAATTAATAAATTTTAAGAAAATGATGTAACAGACAAAAAAAAAGAATTTAATGAATAGCCAAAAATAAAATTTTAAAGAAAAATAAAAGAGAAATTAAAACAGCATCGGTTTATTGTTATATAATCATTATTCACCAATAAATTATTATAAAAGTATTATTACTATTAAATAACAGATTATTACAAAAGTCTGCGTTTACTATTAATTAATATTTGTTTTCCACAAATGATAACTTACATTTCAGTAATAAATGATAAACAAAATATATGATACATAAATATCATATATTATAATGATGATTTATGAAGAGAATTTTGAAATATTTTCAATTTATAGAGAAAACTAATAAACAAGGCTCATTCTGAGGGTATGCAATGTATATATACATGCAGCAGTCGAATTTCTAAACAAATAATTTAAAAGATAAAAAAAAATAATTTGTATTCTCTGAATGTTTTTTATTGAATATAACTTATTTTGTATAGTGATAAGAACAATATCCCTAATCTAATTTAATCTAACATAATCTAACTAACTAATATTTAGCATACACATGGCCCAAGAAAAACTCAAAAAGAAAAAAAATAAAAAATTCAAGATGAAAAAAATATGAAATAATAATTGTAAGAAAAAATTTTTCGAAAGAAAGAAGGGAGAAAAATTAAAGAAAAAATATCCAAAGAATTAAAATAAAAAATCACCATTTCGTTTTCATATCGCGTTACATCAAAGATTAATAGAACGTAATCAACACCAATATGTGTGAAGCGATTTATTTTAATGTGCAATCTTATGCATTCTTATATATATAATATCTCACGCTACAAATAATCCATGATGATGATGATGATGATGATGATGAAGAATAAAAACTACGACGTTGAAAACGTTGCAAATTTTCGAACGAGACGGAACAGAGAAAAGCGAGACACATGCAACCGTAGTAACGAAGTGTCAAAGCACTTTCTAAGAACATTAAACGGTCGGGAGTTGCTTGGTATTTGTATTCTAATTTATAATGATCAAAAGTAACGAGTACAGCGTAGAAGACGAGCATTTTTATATTCGTATTTAAAATGATATGAAAGTACATTTAAATACTTGAACGATCAATTTTCTACAAGAATTTATTTCACATTTTATGTTAATTTTTTATTACATTTCGCTATTATTTTTTAGATGCTAATATAATGAAAAGTTATAAATAAGTTATAATAACATTTTACATTTAAATTATTGATATTATTTCACATCTAAAATAATTCAGCTATCGAATAAAATTTAGTTAATTCTCTAATTATTCTTCAAACGTTAATTAGTCGTCGAATTTAAACTAACAAAAGATAACGTTAAAATCACTTATGATAACAAAAGAAAAAAGAAGAGTCAAAGCACGAACCAATTAAAATTAAACGGTCGAATCTAGTTGAAGAGAAGCCACGAACCAACGATAATACAATGGGGTTGTTACTCACAAGGGAAAAGTATGATCGTTTATAAAGAAGCAAGGGAAATCTTCTGCCAAGTTCTTCGAAATAGACACCACCGAGTTTCTTACCGTATAAATCATAATTACAAATTTCCGACGTGGCATAATACGATCTGAACTACGTTTCACGTTTATGCTGTCAGTGCACTTTGTTACTCGAAATTAGTACATTCAAGAAGATTACTCTTGTGTTGACTGAAACTTGGAAAATAAATCTGTAGTTAAGAAACTTCCGCGTAAATTTTAGAGCATATGCGAACAAAAGATGTTTTTTTTATAAAATAAACGTCAAATTGTTTTTTCTCACGCGTTGTTCGAGAAAAAAAGGTTCGTTGTTATTAAAAAACAAAAGTAATTATGAATAAGTAAATATGGATATTGTGAAATATAATATATAATTGAATATATATGATAATATATAATATATATAATATAATATATGATAATATATAATATATGATGATATAATTGAATAATATGATTAAAATATTTTATTGAAAATAAAAAATTTAAAAATTCTTCATTTTTTACAGAAGATATCATTAAAATAAAAATGATAAAATTAAAAATTATATATCATTGATAAAAATGTGATAAATTGCTATTTTCGAAATTTACATTTATTTTAACAACAATATACATGTATGAATATTAATTGAAAATCATAAAATCTGCTTCTTTTGACCTTGATATAAATCTGCATTCGAATTGAATGAATCAAATATGTGAAATGTATTACACTTCGATTTCTATATCGATTAATCACCGATTAACCTTCTCACACATTGTAAACTAGATAATAATTGATAAAAAAAATATATCTTGAAAAATAAATATATTCATAGAAAAAAAATAATTATGACACAATTTTAACAAAATATAAATATTTTGTTAATATAACAATTATATTATATTATATTATATTGTTATAAATATAACAATTTATCATATTTTTCATAATTTATCTAACAAAAAGTTAGAAATTAAATCATAATTAAAAAATAATATAAAAAAAATAAGTTTCTTATTAAAAAAAGTAACTAAAATAAAATGAAATAAAATAAAATTCTATAAAAAATAGTACATCTTTTGAAATTATAATATTAGAATTTGTTTTTATATTAAAATTTATTAAAACAAGGTATTATAAATTCTAATATATAAAAATAAGTTTATAAAATTAATCTTTTAAAATTAGATTAAATAAATAATTAGTTAATTTCTAAATGAAAATTAATTATTCTTTATGTACTTACACTTAACTAACTTAATTTAACTAATTGAGAAAAATTGAGTAACTTGTCCAAGAATCAGCTGATGAATTCTATTTAATTGACCAAACAATTTATTGTAAGTAAAGGCGTTATGAATATCGAATCATAAATAATTACTTTAACACGTAATAAATATCAAAATCATATATAGTTAAAATCATCACATAAAATTTGATATATAATCATAAAATATTAAAATTATTACACAAAATTTGATATAATTACAAAATGTTTCTTTTAAATAATTGAATAAATTATTATATAAATAGTATACTACCTTAATTTTTTTAAGTCACTGATTCACTAATTCACTATAAAAAACTACATTGATAAAATAATTCCTAAAAAAAACAGTTCCTAACCTTTATTTATCAATCTAAAAAATCATAAAGAAATTATTGTTCGCAATATCGAAATGATCGAAATGATAAAATTATCATAACATTTATCATAAAATTAGGATTGGCAGTAATACTTCACGAAAGTTACTCTATTAACGTAACATTATCGGTATAATGTATGCATGACGTTCCCGATAAAAAAGAACATGTAAGAAATCAAAAGAAAAAATATGAAAAGAAAAGAAAAAAACAATAATTTCCTGAATCTAACCACAATACGAAACATGACGCCAATTATTCTGTAGATTTACACTGTTCTAATCTAAGTCTTCTTAATCTGTCCGTTTTTAATCTCTGTCAACACTATCGTTCAGATAGGTCGCGTGCAACAAAATTACCGACTCGACACGATGATAAATCATCGAAAATCTTCGAAACACATTCTCTGTTCTGCCGAATTCACAATTGAAAAATTCTTTTATTCTGTGTAAATTAAAATATGGCACGATTAGAAAGTAATACGAACAAACAAACGAGAATAGAAAAGGTTAGCTAATACTAAACTGAGAAAAGATCAGAAGAAACAATCGAAAAGAAAGAAAAGCACGTGCAGCAGATAAAAATGGAGGGAATTCGAAAGTAGCGTCTATTGGGTTTACCAGATTCGATTGCTCGGCGTGCTTACACCGAAGATAACGCGTGTCCGCGCGTTTCGTTGCGTCTTTGACGAACGACCACACTATCTCTTTCTGCGATCCCTCCACCGATCCAACCGACGACAGGGTCGGGCATAAACTGAAGTAACTAGCGTTATTCGACGATCGAACGAGAGGTCGAAAGTTCCGTAAGAAGAGAGGATTAAAGCGCTAACGAGCGAGCGAACGCGAAAGCGATGGACAAAGAAAAAAAAAGTATTTCTGGGCTGTGTGCTGAATTGACATGTGATTTCAATATTTTTATGTATACGATGTATTATTGAATCATTCTTGCTCTCTAATTAAATTCAATTTGATATTCCATCTTCGATCAAGTGAATCGATTTTTTTTGCAAATTGAGAATCATTACGACGAAACACAGGTATGAAGGAATACTAATTGTTTGAATGATAATAAATCGAATTTCAGGAATATATAAAAAAATTCCTACTCATTAAAATATAGAAATGATATATTTTAAATATTAGCAATTTCAAATAGATAATAATTCGATATAAAAGATCTTGAATTTATTGAGAGTTAGTTTAGAGATATGGTTAATTTATATTGGTTAGAAAGAATTTTATACTTGTTGAGAATAAGGAAAAAAAAATTAAAAAATTAAAATGTTGAATATTGAATATTAACAAATTATAAAAAAAAAATATGTCTGCAAATTACTATAATTATTATAATTTTATCAAAATAAAATTTCTATTAATGCAGACTATAACAACCTCAATTTTTTTTATTTTTTGAAAAAATATATATATTTTAAAAGTATGAAAAAGATGAAGATAATGAAATATTTAATTTTTATTAGAGATCTAAATAAAGTAGATTAAAATAATTTTAAAGAATCAAATCTTTAAACAATTACGAGAAAAAAGATATTGACTTTACATTATATAAGAATTAATAAATCAATACAAGCAAAAATAAACTGATATATAAATCAAAAACTTTTTTTCATATTGTTTCAAGATTTATTTCGATATTTTAAAACTGTTTCAACTAAAACTGATAATTATTTTCGATTCTTAATTTAATAATAAATATTATAAATATAATTACAATATTAAAATTATAATTAAGTAAATTAATAATGAAATAATAATATTGGACAATTTCTTTTTTATATTTGCTCTAAGAATGTATTTCCTTATATTCTTATTCCCTTGTTATTCTTTACTTTTTCATTTTTTTAGTTTTAATCAAATATAAACCATTTT